CTATGAGGAGACCGAGTATATGAGGCACCCTATAAAAGAAATTTTTTGACTTTTTTGATTCTTTTTGCTCATTCAAAGTATCAATGTTTAAAGCTACCAGCTCCAAAATTTTAGATTCTAAGATACGAACTTTGAACACCGTCGTACCTTTTTTCGAGAAAAACCAAGAAAGAATACTCTATAAAAGATGTGACAGCTTGCGTCTCAAGAAATCATTGAAATTTTTCATGGTATATATCAAAAGATAGAGGCTTAAAAGCTGAACAAAATAAGCTACATGGATATAATATAATGCCTAGCAACTTAACTTTTATAGAACTAACCTGAGTCAGTGTGTGGGTGTGGATGGGGTATGGGGTGTGGGTGTGAGTGTGAGTGTGGGTGTGAGTGTGAGTGTGGGTGTGAGTGTGGGTGTGGCTCATCTCTCAATCTACACCAATACCCACACACCTACACACCCACACCCACCCACACCCAGTATTTGGTGTTGGAAGTATTGAATTTATAAATGATAATAAACGATTGGCATGGGATTTACACGTATTAGACTCTCTTAATATAGTTAACAACATTGAACAGAACTCTTCCGTTGAAATATTTGTATAATAATGTAATGAATTTTCATTGTTAATTGAAAAGTTCTCGGATGATTCTAAATTGTCACATGAACTGTTGATCATCTCATTATCATTTACGTTGCTGTTTTCTGTTCTATTAATATCATCAAGATTTTCTTCATTCACAAGATTTTTGTCGAAAAATTCTTCTGATAAACGATTATTTTCTATATTAGTTGTTAATTTTGTATTTGAATCAATAGCAAGTGCAAATGAAGAAGCAATATTTAGTAATTCATGAGAAAATTGAGGCAATCTGTTATCAACTGGTGCTTCTTCATAATGAAAACGACGTTTTTTTCTTTTATCTTCGTAAATCTTTTGTTGTCATTTACAATATTGACTTTGAGCAAAATCAAGAGCCTGTTCAAGATCAAAATTCATTCTGATATCGATGATAAAATCTATGAACAAATGAAAAATTCACAAGGCAAACTGTGTAACTGCTGATATATTTATATATATATCGAAAATAACGATGGAAAATAGATAAAATAGTTCAATGCAGCACTAGAAAAGTTGCTCTTTTTATTATAGAAACACGTTCAAGATCTCCACATTGTGTGGAAAGTAGATCATACAATCAATGTACGTTAGGCAGATGTCTCTAGATACAATATACAAGCAATTATTATCTCAATGTGAGATACCTATTTACGGTTAGTTACACTTGATACGCGATATTAGCATCGATAGAGATATTACCATGTCATTAGTTTAGATCGATTTCGCCCAATAAAGCCTAGCAGGACGAGTTCGAAATCGAACTATCGACTATCATCGCTGCGATCAAAAACTGACTGACAAGCCCAATCAGTTACAAAATTTTCTGTCTGTATCCGATAACCAAAGGTGACTGATTCCTATCGGATCTATGCTGTCTGAAACGACAAAATCCGATGGGTAGAACTGCTCCGTTCTTATATAATCCGATAAGTTCCGACCCTAGTAATTGAAGATTTTATCATGAAATCCAGTGTCATTTAAAACGGCGGATTTCGATCATTTGGTGACACCAGATAGCCCCAAATCATACCGGATTTGATCAGATTCTAAAATCAGGTCTGATAGATTCCGACTGTATTAATCCGATCGAAACTCTGTGAATCTGACCAGCGTATATTAAAGGAAAACAGTGTATATCATCGGAATACGATGCACAGGAACCGATCAAATCTGATGGTTGTGTGGCACCGAAAATGAAACTCGTCCGGCAGGAACCGACGTACCCAGCTTGACCTGGGCGGTTTTAAAATCTGAATGGATAATCATGGACTATGATCGGTTTTGCGATAAAAATGTGACTTGAATTGATTGAAAACAACATAAAATCCATCAATAGTATTTGACCCGTATCTCTCTAAAAATAGCGACCAAATATAAAAATTTTATAACCAAAATGATAAGCGCAAAAAACTCTACAAACCCTATAAGTTTCACTGAATCTAGACGTGGTCGCCGGATAGTCCTGGCGACATCCAATGGAAACACCCATATGTTGTTCCATCAGCACAGAGTATATTAAAAACAAAACCATCCGATATAGCTTTAACTAATATTTGATTTGACAAAAATTATTAATGTTCCATTCTTCATTCAGTTCACATAAATGAGTGGATGGAGCCTACATTAAACAAAAAAAGACAACTAAATAAAATTATAAATGAGAATGATTGAATTTTATATCCTTTGAGACTTGAACATGGAAGGCTTTGAAGGACAAAGTACGTCTTTCATTATTTTCATTTTAAATTAATATTAAAGTCTTCACAAAGATTTTTTTGTACTACAAGTAGGAAAAGAACCAATGAGAAGAAAGAATATTTCAGTTTTGTATATTTATTATTATGATTATTATTCGATATGACATATAGAGTTTAGTAAATGTATAAATTGACATAACTAGCAATTGATCATGTAAAATCCTACTTCTTTTTTCTAATAAAACAGGTAATGATAGCTTAAGAAAAATATTTTTGCTAAATAATACTCCATGGTCAAATTTCAATAATAGATTTTCTATTCTTTGGATTATTTTTGATAAAAACAATTAATTTCAAATCGATTATTACACGAAAAAAAAATATATGCATAACATAATAATTAAGAAATGAAAAACAAAAATGTTGTTTTTAGTTTTATCCTACATTACTGTTGATGAGATCTGTGAATTTTTAAGGTATTAGTGTAATTAGAGAAAAATTGTAGAGGTCTCAACTCCCCTGACCATGCCTTTAGGTAGGATAAAAACCTTCTGAAAGCGTTTCTAGAGAAGACTCAAGCTCTATTTTAAGCAAAACTTAGCTACTGGTGTTGGAAAATGGGAAACTTCTCTCTAGTTTTAGTAGTATTCTCTCGGAACGAATTTTCTCAATTTCTGTTTTCCTTTCCCCTAATGCTTTCAGAAATCCTATTAAGATTTCATTTTTCATGCTTGAAAAAAACTATCATTATCAGACACTAACTTCCGTCAACGTCGCATTTTACGCAACAAGAGATGGCCTTGAATTAAAAATAAAACTATCATTCAAGACACATTTTAGTATAATAAATCAATTATTATTAATACGTGAAAATTTAACAGTGTTACATTAGGAGAATAATTTTCTTTATCAGTTGGACAATTGAAAAAGAGAAGAAAAATATTAGCCCATCAACGATACCGATATAAAAAAAGAAAATATTCAAGCGGAGAAGATAATAGTAATACTACAGTGCGAGATAATTTCAATAATAGTATTTTCGAAGATGATAATAACAAAGAAAATAAAAGTTGCGATAATTGAATTACAATTGAATGAATAATGAATAAATTCATCTAATTTTTTTTTGTTTGTTTTTTTTGAATATTTTATTGATAACAATTTTTAGTACTTGTTGTTATTGAACTTTTTTTTTATTTAAGCGAGCCGAGTTCGGACTCGAACGGATCTGGTCGAAAAATCAGCCACCAATTTCTCTGGACTCTACTAGGGTATGTGATGATAGCCTGCTCAGAATAATCTCTTATAGTGTGTCATAGCTTTATCATCTCTCTTCTCATGATAATAAGTTTTACAACATATTTTTTATTATTGAAGTACCGTTTACACCATAAGCAACACTCGTTACTATCAGTATTAGTAGTCGCAAACATCATTTGGAAAAGCTGTCGATGCTGACTTTAACTATTTTATCCATGATATTTGTCTTGCTTCATGTTGCTTGGTTTTTATTGTCCACTGATCTTCAAGAGAAAGAAAACCGAAAGTCATTCCAGTTGCCCGTAAATCCATGTTGTCACCGTCGCAAACTAAATAGATTTCCAACTGATACATTGTTTTATATCTACTTTGACACTGTATCGTTAATCATGTTAAAGAAAAATAAACAAACTGAACGAACAACTGATTAAAATGGATAGTATCCTACGAAATAGAAATGATATAGCACAGTAGGGAATCCTTCGTCAACAAAAAATAGACGTATTTGCAATAAATAATAAATTCAATAAAATATTTTCAAGTTAACATTAATATTTAGAGCATCCGAATTCGTATTTTATTATAAGAGAGTGAACAATTCAATGACTAGCATTTTTAATCTTTTTCACTGAAAAAGTCACTTTCAAATTCTAGAATATTTAAGAAAATGCAAGAAGTAATAAACGTAGTCGATAAACAACAAGTGATTAGAAGAACATAGACCGAGTAAAATAGTTAGAACATAGAAATCGTCATAGAGATATAATTTTTCTTCAGATTATTTGTGGTATTTATATAGTCATTTTGTTCTCATAAATAAAAAAAGCTGAAATTTTCTTCTTATCGAATTAATTTATTGATCAGTATGATTATTCGGATGAATGAAACATATATATGAACACATACACATAGCAAGTATAAAAATGACTTATTTTTTTCAACTGAAAATGACTAGAATGCATGAGAACACGATAACCAGAAAAGAAAATAACTTCCTGACTATTATCAACAAGGAAATAATTAGAATTAAACACATTAGTAGTTTTCCGAATGAAATATTGACTGTTTGGCATCGATGTATCACGCATTATATTAAATTATCGATACTGCGTGCTTATAGCAATAAGAATGTCAGCTATGAAAATAAGTATTTGTGAAAGAGTATTAGACAGAGTTTTAAATGCTATCAAATAATATGATGAGAATAAATAATCTAAATAGTATTGAGACTAAAATATTAGAATGAGCTCAGAAATAAACTTGATCGAAATTAAATTGACTAAGATCTCTAACAGTACTATTGATTATCCGTTTTTAACTGATTAGAAAATTTTTCAATAATCCTCTTTCCAGTTTATTTTATTGAATATCTTTAACTATAAAAGAAAAAAGAAAAAAAAAACAAAACAATCAAAAATTATTAAGACATAATTTCATTTAAATATTGACCAAACAATAATGGATTGCCTTTTTCATATTGTTTAAATTTATGATTAACAAATTTTCTTAATGTTGTTGCTAATGTTGAACAAGTACAATGAAATAAATAACCTTGTTTTTCCATTTCGTGAGCTATTTCTAATTGATGATTATTCATAAGTTTTTCATTAACAACAACTAATAATGGTTTATGAGCTTCAAGTGTTTGTAAAATTGTACCTGCACCAGCATGACTAATAACAAGATCAGCTTGTTGGATATCATTTTCAATGGAATCTTTATATTTATAATATTCAATAGGAATTGAAATATTATCATGCGATGGCATTTGACTATTACCTATTTGTAAAATTAGTTTATCAATATGTAAACAATCAACAAGTGCCTGAAGTACATTTGAATCCTGAACAATAGTCTCAATTAATTGATCAAATCGAGTTGTACCTACAGTAACAAAGACACACTTTCCCATAATTCATTTACTTCTTAATCTAGAAAAATATGTACATCATTATACCATACTGTCATTTTATGATAAAGGAATGTAAATAAATAAAGAAAAATTTACATGACAAGTATGGTGGACGGATTTGAGCCTTATTCACTCATATAGATACAGTTCTAGATAGTTATAATAAAATACAATTACAAAAACATTTGTCGTGTGAATGTCTATCTAATGCTACTTTAGCAGCATATTCAAATACTTCTCGAACACCTTCACGTGTCTTTGCTGAGCATTCAAGATAATTTCGTGCACCAATTCGTTTGGCACATAAAAGAGCATCTTCCGTTGTAATGATTTTTTGATTTTGAGATTTAATTCGTTCATGTACAGTTGGATCATCACGTAAATCACGTTTGTTAGCAATAAGAAGTATAGGAACATTATGACAATAATGTTTTACTTCAGGCCCCCATTTGTCTAATACACATGTTAGACTATCAGGTGAATCAAAAGCAAAACAGATTAGAACAACTTGAGTATTTGGATAGCCAAGTACACGAAGTCTAAAAAAAAAGTCAAAGAAAGATAATCTAGAAATGTTTATATTATCAAAAAAAAAAAGTTTTCATATTAATCAAACATTACTAATATTTCAATGATATTGTAACATATTTACTTTTCTTGTTCTTTTTTTTAATGGCTTCTTTTATTCAGTGATGCATTAATTTTCTTTCTATTTCTTGATAATTTATCTAAATACTTACAAAAATTATTTATTCATTCTTTCGATAGAAAACGTCAAGATTGCTTTTATAAGTTTTTATGGATTCAATTTAATATGAATGAACTTATAAGTAATATGTTGAATGCAAACTAATAATTATAAGAATATTATTCATATATTTACGCTTTTAAAATTATTCTCTTTGAAAAAAAAATTTCATGTGTAAGGATAATAGAAATTATCAACAAGAATATTCTCATCATAAGGTATTAGTGAAATAGTTATTCTATTTTCAAAACTATAGTCTTCTATTTGCAACACATACAAGTAAATGGATTTTGTTTTCTCATTAAAAATAATTAAATTGAAATATCTAGTGGCGAAATCAGGATTTCAGTCTAGGAGGAGCTCAGCTCCATATTTATTACCCAAAATCTATCTACAGTAGTGTAAGATTTTATTTTTCGAAAGCTTTGAAATTCGATGCAGTTCTTTTCGTCCCAATATCCTATTTAATCATTTATTGCTCGTGTATTATATATAAGTCAACATATGACCAGCTTTTATTTTAAATTTATTTCACAATAATTTAATCATACAAGCATAATTCTACTGTTTTTGTGTTTTACGGCGAACACATCAACAAGTTTTTCAAAATCTATTTCGAACTTTTTTTCTATAGCCAATACACTAAGATCACTAAATCTTTCATCGCTTATCGAATTTCGAGCATAGTTTTTAATTTATTTCATTTTAGAGAAGGATCTTTCGCAAGCAACAGATGACACAGGAAATGTAACAGCTCCTTTGATCAAAGCAACAGTTGAAGGAAATGCCTGTTTCATTGGCTTTAATTCATTGAGTAGATCCAATGCAGTTGACAATTTAGTATTTTTAACCATTGGTTTTATAACAGAAATTTCATTTATTATTATATGTTTCTCAACAATCTAAATGGAGCTAAAATTTCCTAGAGGAAGCTCAGCTATCGCCAACTTCCCCCTGGTTCTGCCACTAGAAATGTCTCGGAAATACTTGTTCTTTCAATTGAATGGTAACATAAAATAAATGTGTTCTTCCTTTTTTTGTTTTGTTTTTATGACAAATAAAATTTTTTCTTTTCAAGAAAAAGGATACTTGAATCAATAAATACTTAATGTATCTGTTACTCTCATGACATGAAACTAAAGAGAGATAAACAAAAGAAAAAAAAAGAAAAGAAAACAATCTGTGAATGAAAGCGTCTAGTAAACTATCATTAATCGATTTTGTCGGTGTGCCATTCTATTTATGTTAGTTATGATGCCTAACGGCAAATAGATTACTAGACATGTCTCAAATTTATTCATAATAAAGTAACTATTCATAGCTAATAATCAAAGATTATGTCACGTGCAATAATCATTCTTAAGGGATATATACAAAGTGTAAATTTTAATATGGAAATACAAAACTACCTGGCATATTCTTCTTGTCCAGCTGTATCGATTAATAATAATTCAATACGTTTATTATCAACTTCAATTACATGAGTATTTCCTTCAAATAAAGTAGGTACATAATCTTGACAAAATCGATTATCTTTAAATGCATAAAGTAATGATGTTTTGCCAACATTACCATTGCCTACAACAACTAATTTCTTGCGAACTAAATCAACATCAGAAGTCATTTCTATTAGTTATTATTGTTGTCGTTGTTGTTCTTATTTTTTTAATCTTCTCTTTCTTTGTCGTCTTTTTTTTGTTAATTCATTATGTTCGTCTTCTTGTAAGTAACCTTCAAAAAAGAAAAAAAAAATAACAGAACAAGAGAAAAATCCAATAAAATAAGAATTTTTTTTTGCTTTTCTCTTTCGCTTGTTTTCTATCAAAGAAGTGTAAAAACCATTTCTTTTCAAATAAAACAAAAGGAAATGATTCTACAAAAGATGCTGTTGATGATGATTGATCTCTATATACCTGAAAAAAAGCGTTTTATCAAGGGAGTACTCAATACTAATAACAAGAATAGTACATAATTCGTCTCAAGAATCAATCATAAGAAATAGAGAAAAATATTGACATATGTAAGCTATAGAGAAAACTGAAACGTTGTTATAGGTAAATGAAATAGAAAGCCAAAAGGTAATACGAAAAACAAAAAAAAATAAGAAGTAAAGAAAAATAGAAAGAATAAGACGAGAACGACAAATACAACCTAAAAAAAAATGTAAGTAATATAACCAGATTCAGATTTCTCTTGCTGGCCTTCTCGTCGTATCCACGATTTTTATTTGATAATAGTCTCATTAGCAAATAGTACAGCAGAACAAGAAAATGACTGTAAATTAATAAGAGAAGGAGAAAAAAAAAGAAATAGTAAATCTAAACAAAATATCAAATTTATGAGATTTGGAAAGATAAGACACATACGTCAATGACAATACATAACGACGTATATATGTAGACATGAATCTATGTGTATATCTCAAAAGAAATAACCAAATTGTACTATTTTGATTTGATAATAACATTCTGATTGCTTATCATATATAAAATTCGTGCTTCTAAAGCTACTGTCTAGATTAATGTTGAGAATGACTTGTTTTACTTTTTTTTTCTGCGTCGTTTTTTTTTATTTGTCCTCAATGGATAAATTCTTCTTGACTTTCTTTTTCTCTGATGATAGTTTTTATGGTGAATCCCGAAAAAATTCAATTAGACAAGAGAAAGATCTGGTTCTTGTTCTTCTTGCTCTATTTTTTTTTATCGATTATTCTTTTTTCCATATGTTCTCAATCAATACTCAAGACAAAAATCGGTACGGATCATTGACATACCAAGAATGATGAGGGATTTTGCCAATAAAAACAATGACAGCAAGAGACCATTCTTATAAGTGGCATGTTTTTATTATTCGTGATGATAGTGATGTTTGATTACAAAGAATAAATGAAAAGAAAATAACGAAAATAAATCACTTAAAAATATTATTACAACTTTTTTTTCTTCTTTATTATTGTTCATAGATAAAATTGGATTCATCCTATGTTTTTGTTTAGTTTCTGCAAGATATTGTTTATTCAAGAATTAAAACATTTCAGTATAACATATCCAAATATGTTTCTTGCGTGATTCTTACTAACAACCTGCATGGATTCTCATCATTATTAGAATATTGAAAAAACTTGGTACTATCATACTTACTATTCTTTTCTTTTTTTAGTAAAACACTTTCACAACTACGACTACTATTAATGACAACCAATGAACAATGATAATAGTGGCAGGACTAAGAGTAAGAGCGGATGAGAGAAGAGAGCGACGAGAGTAATACTCGGCAGCGATGTTTGATTCCTTATGTCATTGCATACATTGCTACCAGTCTCGTCCTCATTTCTTTTTTTTATTCTCATTGCCGCTCTTTTAGTTTTTTCTTCTTCTTATGTGTCGTTCAACACATTTTGTTCTATTTTACGTCGAACTCTTACCTGTCTGCGTAGTAATTATCACTTCATGCTGACGACTCTCAAAACAAAAAAAGAAGAGACTGAGTATTCTTTTTATAAAGAAGAATTAATGAAAAGAAATAATTTTAGTTTATTTCAAAATGATGAATGCGTATATAAATTTAAAAAAAGAAAATACGTTACTTTTATAATTACCTTTTATGAAGTGATAATCTACGAAAAAAATATCCATTTTTAATTGTAGCAAAAATAAATCTAAAAATAAATAATCAATAAGGCTATTATTCTGTTTTTTTTCATACACATGAAATGTAATGAAAAATATAATTATGATTATGCTTAAAACAGTTTAAATAAATAAAAAAGAGACAAGCATAAAATAAATGATTGAATGAAAAAAAAAATCATATTTTCGATTAATTAATACGATTGTATTTGATAATCTCCTATGTACAATAGTTAATATAATTAAACCAAGAAAAAAGAAAAATTAATATAATAATTATTTTAAAAAAATTATTATTGTAACTTTCAATGTCATTTTTATTGTTCGTTTGAGATACTGATAAGTAAACTAGTATCAAAATAACGCCTATACTAATCATATATACCAATTAGAGTTAAACTCAAATTCCTCGATTATATCATTGAATAAATACTAATATTTTCTTAGTGTTCTGTCGGATGTTTTCTTTTTGTAGTTAGTTTTAATTTACAATTTTTATTGATTAAAATAGACAAAATTTAAAAAAAATTTAATTGCTTAGTAAAAAAACACAAAAATACTTGAGATTTCATATAATCGTTGATGATTTATCTTTATTACAATTATCACATAAATATAATATG